CATGGGAAGATGCTCTAAGATTTTAGAGCATCTCCACAGCCTCCTCTAAATTCACTCCAGAAGCTCCATGTCCTTCTGTTGTTTGGGGTCCAAGAGCTGGACACAGTACAGGGAAGTTTTATTAGGGTGGGGTCTCATCCGAGCAGGGCAGAGGTGCAGAATCACCACCCCCACCTGCCCATACTGTGGGATGAACCCAGGAAACAGGGGGTTTCTGGCCTGCCAATGTACACAGGTCATGTTGAACTTCTTGTCAACCGGTACTCTTAATGTTCCTTTCTTTCAAGTAGGATGCATCAGTTAGATAATTTAGCTGTTAACTGAACACTGCAGGGCTCCAGCTTCTCAGATTCTGCTTCTCCTTTTTATGAAACAATAACAGAAAAAAGTTAATGAAACATTGCCTCAGAATATCAGAATACTCTGCTCAGAACACACACAAGAGACTCATGCTCAGAAAATCCATATGGCAGGAATTGCCTATTTTCATGAAAAAGATAGAAGAATCTTTCAAATCAAGGTTATAGATTCTCTCAAAGCTCTTTCTTTCAAGAACATAAAGCTATTTTGAGAACAATTTGTCTCTCTCAATTGCAAAGATTTCATCATTCAGTCTAACCAGCAATACCCTAGGAAGACATGCAAGTTCTGTTGTACACAGCAAAATACATGCTATCTATTTTTACCTTGAAGTTTAAAAAAGCATGTAATTCTACTTCTCAAAGATTATAAGAAAGCAGGAGAAATTGCCATATAAATTGAAATATTACCATATTAATGGTAGTTCATGGAATTACCGGTATTTCCTTGACATTTAAAGTTACCTTTCTAATAATCATCTCGGGGCATGTGGGCAGTACTGAGGTTTTACACCTATACTGAATTTGCTCTTCATTTCCTACGAAAACTGATGCTAATAATGTAGTTTGTGCAATTCTCAACACTGACAAGAAAGAAACCAAATTAATTCCAAAGTATAGATAATTCTCTTCTGAGGCAGATGAGAAACTGAGTAAAAACACCAAGTCCAGTGGGAAGAGGAAAAAAAAAAAAAAACAAAACAATATTACCAATAGCTATTTTTGATGAAGGGCAACTTAAAGATTCTATCACCAGGACCAAAACCATAAAATAAACCTACTTTCAAAAACAAGTATTTCCCTTTTGGAAACACATCACTTTTTCGTTATTGCAGAGTCTCAGTGTCCCTTACTCTCACTCTGCTTTTCCAATGTAAATACAGACATGAACCACAGAACAAAAGAAGTCTCAGCAAGCTTTGTTCTGTGGATTCTTCTCCAAACCACCGACACCCAGCCCTTCTCTCAATGTCATTTAAAATTCTGTGCTAATTCCACTTCCTTTCTTTTCCAGACATATTAGCCTGGCTCTGCTTGGAGGAAAGTGTCCCTGAGACGACCTGTTTCACACAGCTATAGCTGCAGGTAAGCACAGTCAGACCAAGCTTCTGGGGTGCATCTGGCCCAGAGCAGAGAGGACACAACAGGGCAGACCTGCTTCTTGCAGACCTTACTCAGGATGCTAATTTAAAGTTTTTCAAACCTGATTGCAGCCATGGCCAGAAGCATAGTTAATCCCATGAATTTTAGGGAGGCTGCTCACAGGATTATGGTTACAATATGTACCATGCCAACACTAACCCATACACTTTTCAGACTGGGACTATCCATGTCATTGAGAAGCTGTTTGTGGGTCAGAGCCCTGAAAAAAGTCAGTAAGACATTGAATTTTATAACCATTGTCTCAGAAAAGACAACAAATTACCTGTATTTAATTTTCAAAATACCTGCAAGTATTAGGAAGTCAGCTCCAACTAGTGCTGCAGGTCATCATTAAAGACAAGTAATGATTCTAGAAAGCCCATTTAGAGATTTATTGCACATCCAACCTCTTGTAAAGTAGCAGCAATCCAACTAAAAACATAAATAGAACAGAAAGTACAATTAAAAAGTCAAAATCTGGTGCTACTACTAGATGGAAGATATTCTCCAGTCCATTACCAACATAAACCCCCCCGGCTGTCAGTAATGTTCCATCTTTCTCCAGTCTCAGCCCTCCATGACCTAAATATTCACTGATTAGTACTTCTGTGTACTTAACTCTTTGAGGACCCAGTCCTGGAGTCCTTCATATTTTTTCATCCAGGCTGCTCAGAAGAAATGCAAGAGCACTGGGCAGCTCCTTTGGAAGGGAAACTCAACACTGGCAGGACCAGCACAACAGCTTCATTAGCCTTCTGTGTTTTGTATCTGTTGTCACTCATTGTGCTTCATTCTGCTTTCCAAGAAAGGACATTTTAATAAGCCAGACCAAACACCCAATAGAAGAAAGAAATGGTAAATCCTAGGCTAAAGGACAGAGCTTAGAACAGGTGCAATATACAGGTAGTGGGACAAATGGTGTGGTTTTATACTACACTTAATGTCCTCCCCCTGAAAGAGTCATCCTGCCCTGCTCCCTCAACCACAGAAACTACATTAATCTTGCTTAGAAGGTTTTGACCCAACTTGGAGTTGATTCAGCTGACTCCCATTTCAGGGAAGTGTTTTTTTTCCAGACGTCTACAATTTTTGTGGCGAGAGTTTTTCATTGCTGTATCACATTTATAGGGGAAATTAAACTTCAAGTGATCCCATGCTTATGTGAAAAGGCTCAGTTTTGGTTTTCTGTTGGAACTTGCAACTGCAGAATTTTTTTTTTTTTTTGGGGGGGGGAAGGTGGTATGGGGAGCAAGACAAAGCACGATACCTCTATAAAAAAACAGGATTCAATTTTAACACTGAATTGTGAATTTATCCACTATAATGAGGCTTTCACTTTTTTGAAGGGGTGATAAGTGGAACCCTCTAAGTGGGAAATAATTTTTAGACTTTGGATGCAGTTCTTCATGGCAGTCCATACACCCACAGTCCCCGTGTACTGGGAAGGGAAAAGAAGCAGGGTTACACTGCAAGCTAGTTCCACTCTCTGACATACAGCAAAACCAGGTTGTTCCTAATAAAATACTGGAAATTAATTTAATACTATTTTGTAGGACTGAAGCAAAGTCTTTTCTTTGCCCACTTAGAAATAAAAAAAAATTAATAGGAAAAAAAAAATACAGATGCCTTGATTTCAGGTGATTGTCATTGAGCTCCTAGAGAACTACTGCTAAGAGCAGATAGAGCAAAACACTCTGTTTCTGTCACCAGGACTCTTAAGTACCAAAAATGCTGTAATGCCATTGCCAGTATCAATCTGACCTATCTCCACTGGATTTGCATACATTAGAGGGATTTCTTTTGGCTTGGATTGCCTTACAGCACCAAACTTGACTCCAACCCTAGAAATAAGAAGAGGTTTCTTTTGTTGTTTGTGGCTGGGATTTTTTTTTGGTGAGGAAAGGAAGGCTGGGTTTATGTTTGGGTTTTTTTTTTAACTGATTCTAAATTCAGAACTTTCAAGTTTTTCCCTCTAGCATTATGATATGTATCCGAGGTATAAGAATCTTGAAAGCAAGGTATGTAACCATAAAAATCTCTATAACTAACTCCACCAGGCTCTTGCTCTTACTTGTTTTTCTCATAACAGATTTATCTCATTATTTGAGCCTCTGGCTCAAATTAAATCTTTTCTCAGATCCATGAGATCAATTTCTGAAGGACTAGATTTTCCACACATTTTTATATTCTAAATTATCATACCAAGTGATGTTAAGAAAAAGGCAAAATAGGTTATGTCACAGACGTGGCTCTTCAAAGGAGATAATCCTACCCAGCTATAGAAAATTTCTGTTAAGCATTATTTGGAAATTTAGCTCCAGCGTAAGACAGAAGTCAACATTTTTCTAATTTAAGAAAAGTAATAATATTATTTATTTGGCACAAAATAAAACATTAGATTAATGGCTGTAAAGAGGAAAATGCATAGTTCTTCACATTCTCATATTGAGATGTAGGGTAATAATACAAAGTGAAAGTCACTGTTACTGTTGTACTTACTTTTCAATTGCCTCAACACTGAAATATACTCACAGCTCTGCCACAAGGGCAAATCTATACATTCTCAGAAAACGTCACAGACATACTTTCCCCTCCAAGTTTACATAGACATAAGGGACAACTGCTATGATTTTCACTTCCATTACCCAAATTACAGCAGGTTTTTTTCGACCAAGAAGTATGATGATAATTTATAAGTATATAATTACCCTCCCCTGCTGACACTGAAACGTCACCCCCACAGAATATCTACTACTACCCATTATTCCACTAAATTCATATGGATTACATAGGTTGTTGCTACAAGTATGAAACAAACACCTTCTCTCCAACCCTAGAGACCCTGCCAGAAGGAGGCAGAAGACAGCACCAGGGAGAGATCTCCATGTAAGATGTCTCCTCCCCAAAGTAAATACTCTTCTAGAAGATTCCTAAACTGCATGACCCCAAAATATTAACCACTAAATAAACACGTCTGATTCCACACAAATGCCTGCAGCTGTGACAGTGGGGACCAGAAATCAAATGCTATTCCTCCACAGCTCTCCAATAAAGCCTCTTACTCACTGTGCTGCAGCTACTGCCTTCCCTATGCACCTTCTCTAACCTGGGGAGTCTTTCATTCCATTCTAATCAGTGCCAGGCCTTCGGCAGAGCTCAGAATGCCCTGCATTGTCCAGCTTCTCACAGTCTGGGTTCACCACTCCAAAAGTTGTGAGTGGTGAAATTTCATTGCCTCAGACCAAGAAGGGAACTGAACACAAACCTTACTCCCCTGTGGGCAGCATGGCTTCACTACATTCCAATGAGTGGAAAGAAATAGCCAGCAACACATCTTGCAAAACTCTGTTCCTCTCTGAGAAGTACATTCTGCTTCCCTTAGCAAAGAAGGGTGGAAGAACTGTTTGTTTCTTGGCTATGATCAACCTTTTTTCTTGTTGTCCCTGAGCTTGCCTCGAACTCCAACCACTCCTGAACAAAGATTCTGGTACACCTTACCTTGGACATAACGTTCAGAAATCTCCAGGCTCTGGGTCCCACGTGGGAACACCACAAGAACATAGGAAGCCCTAGGATCATGGAAGATCTCAGCAGAAGTTTTCAGATCTGCAACACCAAAAATGTGGGAAAGGCAGACTCTTAACTCCTGCTGGAGGTGCTCAGGTCCTTGGTTAGATCCCACCTTAGTCATACAGCAACCGGTATACATTGGACTGAGCTTAATTTAAAAAAAAAAAAAAAAAACCAAACAAACCAAAAAACCCTGCATTAATCATTTACTTAAAGAGCTGGATATCATTAAAAGTCCCATAGCAACAGCAGCTCTAAGATATTCCTTAAAACACCTTAGGGAATGCCTAAGCAACAAATATTTTAAAACAATGAAACATAAAAGGCATGGAAGAAAAGTCTGATCCAGGTTCCCATGTTGTCATGGTGACTTCCCAGTCATTATGTACTTCAGACACATTTAGTAAAAAGCTACATTTTTCACCCCTCCCAATCAAATAATGCAAGAAAGGGAAAAAATCATACCAGCTTTTCCCAAGCCAATCAAACAGCAACTGAATTCTCTGATCAGGCAGCACTCCTGAAATATTTTAACCAATCCTTTTCCTGCACTGTGAATCAGGTACTCAGACAACATGGAAACAGACATCAGCAGAAAATTCAAATTAATAATCCATTTATCATACAAGATTCTGAGCACAGTTGGACCAGACAAGTTTATGCTTTCAGATTATTTGAAAATAAATTTATTTAATTACTTACAACATCATTTAATCCATCCCCACTTGCAACACTGTTTGCAAGCAATTGATTTTCTTTTACCAAGTACTATGTGTTCCACATGCTGCTGTTATCACACAGAGCAATCAAACAGCATTAGCAGGCTCAAAAACAATAAAACCCTCCCAACATCTACATGCAAATGCTGCTTAAATACCAATTTTAAATAGCATAAAATCAATACAGCTCATTATGGATCTGTATGGAAACATAGCAAATGCTTTACTACCAGCTCTAAATTGCTCACACTCAGCAAGCACTGCCCAACACTGCCACACCCCCCCTCTTCTACACCAGGAAAAAGCTAATGCATAACACAGTTGAAGAGCAGGCATTCTAGTAAGACACCATTTTCTACATGATACCTGAAAAAAGCATTACAGACTCCACGAGAAAGCACTATTTGAACAGATCACAGCATGCACGCTTACTGGCAGCTTGCCAGCTCAGCCTGCCCAGCCATCTGCCCCTTGTCCACCCACCTCCCAGCATTCAGACCATCACTGCATTCGCTTCACAGACGGACCATTCTGATAACCCCCACCCTCCCCGTTAATCAATTAATGAAGCAAGACTGTTTTTTCCTTACTAAGCAATGTATGGACACTAGGTGACTTGAAGGTTGCTCGTTCCTTCTTGCTGCAGGACCTCCCAGAAAAAATTGTCCAGCCAAATTCAGGCTTGTTTTTTTTTTTTTTTTTTTTTTTTTTTTTATATTCATTCAAAGCGGTAGGAATACACTCAGCCCTCGACAATGCCAGCTTGCATGATGAAAGAGCAAAAGTAGTTTTGAGGCTGCAGAATGCCTTCCCTGGGTTACCATGGAAATAAATGTGGGAAGGGGAGGGGGCTTCGCTGATGGCAATTGCTGCCACTCAGTGGAGATGTTTTAAAGCCAGGCTGTGTGGGACTATAGTCCAGGAGAAGAAAATGTGTTTTACTATTACTACTATAATTTTACCTGCACTTCCTTCATTTGCACCAAATTTCACGTAGTTGAAAAGCATGAAACTTCCATGAGAGGCTGGAGGGACACTGGTTGAAACAACTACAGTGTAAGATCCCTTCAATGAGGAGCTGAAGAAATTTTATTTACATATTGAAATTTACACAGATGGGAATTAATGCTCAACTGCAATTAAAACTTGGTTGACAAAGATGAACCTGTTGCAGAGCTGAAGCTGTAGCAAGGAGGACTAGTTTCAGGATGGCTTGATAAGGAGCATCACCTTATCATTAAAACACAGGATAGCACTTCCTCTTATAATCTATGGAAGGCAGAAGACTGCACCAAAATCCCAGTGAGAACAGCCAGTTTCATCAAACTGATTATATTTTATACAAATGTAGTTAGTGTTTTTAGGTTGGATATTAAGAAAAATTCTTTCATTGAAACAGAATGGTTAAACTTTAGAACAGGCTGTCCAGAGCAGTGGTGGAGTCACTGTCGGTGGAATTGTTCAAAAAATGAGCAGACATGTTTGGTGGTATGGTTTAGTGGCCATCATAGGATTCAGTCAAAGGTTGGACTTGATGTTCTTGGAGGTCTTTTCCAACCTCAGAAAGAGGCAAGAGCTGCTCACTACAGTGACATTAACACAGTACTCCAACCAAAGTGCAATACTCACTGTACAATATTTGCACAAAGCAAAAGCAGGTTCCACATTCATAAGTTTTTACCATTGACTATTAGCAATACATTTAAATTTTACATATCAAAAAATTTCCCAAGCACTGTCTCTGAACATGCTGAAAATGTTTTTTTAATAACAATTAATGAGAGCTCTGCCTTGGCACACTACCCACTACTCCTCTCTCCTCAGCCTCTCCACAGAGGACATCAAGAAGCCTGCACCAACACAAAGACCACTTTGGTTTGCAAGCACAGCAGCTAAAGGTGATCTACTCCAAAATCCACCATTTATTTTATTATTTCCAATGGGCTTGTTTTAGAAAGTTAAGCCAAAAAGAGAGAAGCTAAACAAGTTGTGGTCCATCTAAAAAGACAGAGTAAAGCTGGGGTGGAGGCACCATGAGAAAAATTACAAGCTACCTGTGCACAAGGCTGGAAGAAACCTGTCAGACTTTGGGCAGAAAACACCAGGGTTGGCTACTCCACAGCTGCTCCAGCCAGCCCTCATAGCAGCTGTCTTCTCCCTGGAGCTCCCTCATTTCTCCAGTTTCTCTCTGAGACAAGTGGATGGTATCTTCTACCCAAGTGGGGCCAGGGGAGAGCTGGTGACAGTAAAGTAAACTAGGCCAGGTCCCTTTCTGACTCCTCTCTCACTTGCATCAATTTCTGCCCTAATCTGAGTTGAGAGAAAAAAGGAAGTATGAAAACATTGTTTTTTGCAACAACATGTCACAGCTGTAAGATTAAATAATACATTACATTTACACATATAGAATGCCTAGATGACACACTCCTGGCCCAGGAGTGGAGAAACCCCTCCTGGACACCAGAGAAGGCCCATCTCCCTGCGAAGCAGAGAACAAACAGTCCAACCTGTATATTTCCACCTGTTTTCCTCTTCAGCCAAATACGAGTTCAACACTTCTTTACAAGGCCACAAATAAAATCTGATTTTATGATATTACAATAAAAATCAGTTTTGCTGATCACACATGACCCAGATCAGGTAGTGCAATTTTTCATGCTTCCCCAAGTTCCTACAGCTGGCCTCTCCATCATGCCTTTAGAACCACCACCAACAAAGTTTTACTCACAGCAGAATTTCAATTCATACACAAAGTCAAGGAACAGCAGAACTAAATCTGCCAATGCAAACACAGCAAAACACTATAAAACGCTAGCCGCTACACACAAGCAATGGGGAAGAGCTGAAAGGGCTTAAAAATCCAAACCACCAGAAACCAGAGCAGCCCAAAGCCACAGATGAGCTCTGCAGGGCTCACCTGGCATAAGCTTACAAGTTTCTGCCCACATACCCTCACACCATGCCAGCTTTCCACTGTGCCCCTCTCCCAGCCCCAGCAGATACCAACCAGTGCAGGATGGGGCTAGTCTGGAGCAACACATATATCCACTGTGCAGCTGGCAGCTGCCATTCTGATGCTTCTGCCTGCTTGTCTCCTTCTCTCTAGGGGCCAGTCTAGCTGGCTAATGAATTTTGGAAAAACAAAACAGYAAAGAGAAAAAAAATATATAGTTTATAGTTCTTTACCCCTTTTATTGACCACTCTGAAATGAGCATGAGGAGCAAGAAGGGACAGAAAGCATAATGCATAAACCTCACTTCCTCAGGAAACCAGATTGAAAGCCGCACCATCAACTACCAGAGAAGCTCAACAAGACCAGGGAGCAGCTCAGATGGATTATTCTTTTCTTTAAAAGGCAGCTGCCAGGGAGAGACAAAAGTAAATATTGAGACTGAGCAGAAGGCCAAGAAACTGCAGGGAGAACAGATATTGATTATCAAAAGTCAAAAATACATTTATTTCTATATGTATACAAAAATTGCACATATCCAGGTATGCTTGGAAAGGGCAGCAAGGAGATTTCTTTGAAGCCTCCCTGAACAAATAAAAAACCATCACACTTTTAGACTTTCTGACAGTTAAATAGCAACAGACTGACCAGCCAACATCCTTGTGATTATGTGACTAAAACCACTATGCTCCAGGAGAGAAACATACACATCATAACTCATCTCCTAGTAACAAGGCAAGGTATCATATTTGCAAAGAGAGGGGGGAAACAGACTTTTGTTTTTTACTGCAAAATAATAAAATTAACAAAACTGACAAATGACTGGCTATTTATCATTACATGATCCTCCTGTAATCTTCTTGAAGATTTTTATCAGAACTGTGCATGTGCAAAGAAATGAAGAGTTAATCTCATGGTTGGTGGTAGCTTTTAGATGACTGATAACCTCTTATTGGAAGAACAGCTATAATTAAAAAAAAAAAAAAAAAAAAAAAAAAAAAGAGGACATTGTTAAGGACAAACTATCATTTCAAATCATGTGCCCAGCAAAACAGGGAACAAGTTGATATCTGTTATTTGGATTCCCTATATTTTATGCTCTGACAACTACATTCACCTACTCACCTGCCAGTGAAACAAAGGAAAAGTCAGCCTGCCTAACTGTAACACTGTTATCTGATGCAGACACTTGTGTTGCTGTACATTCATACTATCTCTAGTTGCATGCACCAAAAATAAATTTTAAAAACCTAAGAAGATGGAAATAATCACTCAAGCCACAATGGAGCAAGCAAAACAGCCTTGTTTTTTTGAATGGAGTCATAGCTTTTAAATAACTAATAAAAAGATGTACGATTACACATCC